AAGGTCTTGAAACAATATTATCGTTTATCGCAATAATTTTTTAGACAATTAATCGCTCAGCAAAATTTGTTATCGTGACAGGTCTAGGTACATGTGGCTCAATTCTGCTGCGATATCACAATAATTTTCTGATCAACTTATGATTTCTTAGTATGACTTGGTGGGAGGAGTGAATTTGTGAATTCCTTTTTAATTTTCAAATTTTCTCAGAGACATTAATTTGATTGAGAATTCAATTTTAGCTTTTCAGACCGAATGTCAGTATTAATATCCTAAAAAAGTTGCTTATAAATTATCTCTGAGAAATAAACATCTTTATAGTAATTTGAAGTATAAATTAGTGTCCAAATTGTACCTCTGTCCTGTTTTCACCTGGCTACCCCCCAAACACCAAGCATGTTAAAAACCCAAAGGCTAAAGCCCCAGTAATCTTGAGCTAAAGTTCAGCCTTGGCTATGCACCATTAGGCCAAAGAAAACTCCCCCATTCTGTCTGCCGTCTCCATTAAAAGCACTTTACAGCATAGGAGTTATATAAAGAAATATTTATACGCTGACATTTTAAATCATGGGTCCACCTTGATGCCAGCAATGAGACAACGCCTGTGAAGAATCCATCTCTTCGTCCACTTCCAGTCTGTGTTTTGATTAATTTCAGTCATCTGTAATTTATTCAGCGAGCGGGAATGGATTTGTTTACGGAAAGCTGAAACTCCTGCTTTCTGTAATCATCATTAAATCAGGGTCATTAGGAGCAGTTCCCAATGCAGGTGCTAATTTGATGAAGTGGAGGGTGGAGGTAGGGGTAAAAAAATAATTGTCATGTAATTAAAACACAACAGATAACAGAAAAACCCCTAAGCCGTGCGGAATGAGATCTAATTTTGTCGTTGTTTGCTCAGATTATGAACTAGAGGTAAACTTTAATATCACAAGTCAATAAAATTCTTCTCAATAGCAGTCTGCCCACCGCGCTTGTTGTGATCTGTTTTTGGAAACATTTGATTTGTTGCTGGCGTTGCACCTCCGCTGTGTCACGCAGCGGTCATCTGGCCACCCCTGAGGTCTTAATAAGGTAGATGGGTCTGTGGAAGAGGGAGCGCCGCCTGATGGTGTCTGTAATCCAGTTAGTTGTGCTGTGACACTGTAGGGGGGCTTTGATTCTGGTCAATAAGTGCCAATAAGAAACAGTCATCACTCAGCAGGCTGTAGTGCCCACCAGCTTGCTCACTTGTTACAGCTGTCAACCGCCGTTTCAAAGGATGCTGCTTCGGACAGATTGTAAATGACTTTCCCATGCAAATTTGAATAGGACAAGGAGGACGACGACAACGACACTTGAGGACTCAAACGTTTCTGAACTGACTGATTTCTCTCCAACGTCTGAATAAACCCATCCACAGTGCAAACAGCTCCGTATTTACAGAACCACCATTGATGGACGCTCATTCTGTCAGTCTTAAATGCTTAGGAGTGAGTCCGTAGGGGGGTGTTAAACCCTCAGCAGTGACAATCGGAGCTCTGTTAGGGTTTTCTTGAACACCTCTGTGTTCTCTGCAGGCTCTCATGGGGTGCACCACAAGGCTGCAGCGGAGGAGGGGTAAATACCCCGACCCGTACGTAGACTCTGACTGAAGCCCTCTTGGAAAGGAATCCGCGGACCTCCGCTCAGGCCCGACGTGCTGCGCGGTTGCCATTGGAAACGGAAACGCAGTGCCAAGTGGAAGTGTGTGAATGAAACTTGAAAACGAGAATCTGAAGAAATTAGGAGCGCATTCAGCTACCAAAACATCCTCTGTGCTGCACATTTTGACATTGTATAATCCATAGTGACAAAATGACGCGCTCATTAAATGCTCCAACTTTGTTGTAACTTAAGGAGATTAAAAAAAAAAAGTATGACAGTAACTCTGTGATGTCGTGATGAAGACTGGACCTTACATTTAGAGAACAATTGAACAATGCGATGTTCATTTTGTTCAGATTCAGAGATAATTAGTGTGGCTGTTCCTCTTCTCTTTCATGTTCTCTTTTGGAGAGAGAGCTTGAAGAATGATGCAGTGTGGGTGTATTCTCGTGTACATTAAGTTGCGTGTGTGTGTGTATTTATAGTCAACAGAGCAGACCAAGGGACTCTGTCAGAGCTCTTTGTTCTCTAGTGAGAACACATCATGACTGGGCCTTTTGTCAGAACTGACACCACCATCCTACCTCTCTCCTCTTTTCTCTTCCTGCATCACTCTTTGCAACTTGCCGCTAAACCAACCACCTTGTATCCTAGCCCCTTCTATCCCAGATAAAAACATTTAAACTAGAACATGTCCAGAGATTCTCCAAGCCAGGACTTTTGGGTTCTGATCCGATCTTGATATTTGGATTTAAATATCTGCCAAGATGCCAGTACTTTCCAAGAGGTAAAGCTTAAGGTGATGGCAAAGAGGCCTTTTAACCTCAATGTGTTGGAACTCCTCACTGAAGATAAATCATCCAAATACCAGTGGAAACATGCAAATAGCTGCTCAGCAGTTATGAGAAGAGCTTAATCGCTGTTAAAAAAAAAAAGATGTAAAACAAATAACACTGATTATTTAGAAGAGTATTATTTTTATCATGCTATTTATACGAATGTAAAATGAGATGGCAAGGGAGCACAGTGTATTGTGTGTATTGGGCTTTGTAAAATGTTCTGCTAAGCTGCTAAAACTGGTGACAAAATCGCACAGTACAGCAGTAATTTAAGGAGCTATGTGCTCATTATTAACAGTCATTAATTATCAATGAGCAGAGCCGACAGCTTGTGTGTATGTGAGAAATGACACAATAAAATTTGTTTTCTATTTTAGTGAAACAAAGAGGGAAAAAAAACATTTCATAGTGAAATGTTTTAGAAAATGTTTTTGCCAGTGATTTGATCAGTTTTAGGCGTTGGAGCCATTAGCATTACTGTCTTTAGCAGCAGCATCTCTGTGCACAGTTGTACTATGTATGATCAAAATAATACCACTATTGATATTTCTTTAGCATCATATGAGATTGCTCATATTCTCTAAAAGTTCAAGAATTTGTCAGAGGACGGCCTCCTTCAACTTCATATCCAATCCATGATGTCAGAATCGGTTTCAATACTGATAATCAAATTTGGCTGGACCCACTTTTCTGCATTATAGACAGTTAGTTCTAGATGTAATTTTTCACAAGGATAGATTGTACACCAGGTTTTACGACAGTCAGTGTGGATGTGCACAGTTTATTTTTGTGACATTTTTACTGTTTTCTCTGTGAAAATCACTGATACTGCGAAACATAGAATGAAAAACATGGATTTCCAAGACAAATTCTTGGATTTTTAATTTGTACAATTGTTCTGGAACCTTTAATCAATAATGTTTATAAATAGAGGCGACGTCGCACTGTGTGAAAGAGAGATGTTACTGTTCTAAAGCTCTGGGGTCAAGTTGATATTTTCCAACATTTTAAAACATTACAAAATTAACATTTAAACTCTTAGTTTTCTCATATTAGCAATAACCATAATTAGCACAAAAAGTCGAAAGTGTTTATGCTAAAAATTTTAGAAGATATAAATATAGTATTTACAAGTTAATTTTGTTGTTGTTTTGTGGGTCGTAAGCTGAAAAGTTTTAGCTCTACTCTTTGGCTCTTGATTAACCAAAACTGACTTTACTTGTCAAATGCATCTCATGAGTGACGATTTCTCCTTAAAGTGAGTAAATCTACAATTATTTTCTACAGATCACTCTCATACCTTCTATAATCTCCGTTGTGGTAACCTCATTAAAAATATATTGGGTAAGTGCCTGAGTGACGGCTTTAACTCAGGCTGAATATTCAGCACTTTGTAGAGAAACTGAAAATCAACCTGGAGTTTTATCAAGATATACCTTGTGCTCATTTATTGACCAAGATAAAACTTATTTACACTACATTCATAAATGTTTTTTTTTTTTTCCCCCACTGTGACATTATTTTAATGCAGGTCACATCATCCCCACTTTGTTGATTAGTTTGTGTTTATTATTTTGTATAGTGTTTTATGACATTTTACTTTGCTAAATTACTACAGGGTGTGCTCTCACTTTATTTGGGTCCCTTCTTAACACAGAATTATAACAAATATAAAACGGCAATAATTATACAGGTAGCTTTATATTGTAATAGGTTTTTCCAGACCAAGGCGTTATGCAAACATGAACCCATTCCAAAAGCCTTTCGTTCTTTACCTTGAGCCAGCTTCCCATTAAAGACATAATTACAAGTTAATGAACACATTGAGGCGACGCAGAGCTTAGTGTCTCACCCAAGGAAACCTAAATAAGTCAGGAGCAGACCTTCTTTTCCTCTGATTAGAAGGCCATCAAAGGGGATGTACGTGACAGAGAGAGAGAGTTGAGCCAGAGCACGTCACATCTTCACCCCATTTCCCAGGGCAACTGCATTAATGATGGGTTAAGTGCTAAAATTACACGCATTTATATTTTGCTTTCAAGAAAGAGCTTTTCCAAACACCGTTAAGGTTGCATAAGCCTAATATAAATAAGACAAGACACAAATATAGAGGCAAAAACATTTAAGAGCATCTCTAAAGAGGCAGTTTTTTTATCTACAGTGTTGGTATCTCAGCAGAAATCTCATTCTCACTTTAAAAGTCAGTGCCCTTTTGTGTCTGCATGCTCACAATGAAAATTGCTGTGCAAGAAGTGCCTGTCATCTTAAAATGTCTGCAGAGTGCTGAGCTTATCAGAACCTGAGGGAAATCTAAATTAAATCTTTTGCGGTAAATGAAACTTGCTTCCAAATTAGCTCTTATCTTTCTCAAGTGATCTACTGAAGTTGGGCAGAGAAGTTTTTGGGAAGCAAATGCACATTTATCGAAGGAATGTTTATGTAGGTGACTTTTTCCATTTTAAGAAATTGAATATGCTTTCATGTATTTTGTAATGGATAAAATTATATGTTCTTTTATTTTTGTGGCAGTGGATCATAGACGTCACGTAAACGGGTCAGCACTATTGAGTGAAGAGCAGCTATGTGGATAAAAGGTTTATCTGACGTTTGCACAAAGCGTATGCAGCATTTACCTCGTTTTCAACAGGGGCAATAAATAATAAATGTAAACATTAAAACTGGGAGAACATTTCAGCAGGAATAGATCAATAACACGTCCACCTATTTGGAAATGATGACTAGATAGAGCATTCACACAAACCAAAAAATTCTGACTTTATTACCAAAATAACCCAACGCTAAAGTTTTATGTCCTGTAATGATACAGTACATTTTCTGGCTTATCTTATAACAAAGCAAATAGTTATTAAACAAAACTAAAAATAATAAGCTCTTTGATTTTGAGATTATTTATGTGAAAAGTAGTAACTCAATGAGATCAAAAGGTCGAATTTCACTAATGAAAAACTAATGAAAGCAGAAATTGATGATTTTGTGTCTGACTCATTGTGACTGAGGAGCTGACTGGTAATATCTTGGAAAATCAGACCTTGATTCTTAATTAATATAATTTTTAACAAGCTGACACTAGAAGGTGTCGTGACTCCATTTATTTCTCTTTTTCAGTCTGAACAAAATTAGCATTAATTAAACCATTTGCAATCATTTTCTTATGTATTAGAATCCTAGAATCTTTTTTAATTCAATGCTTTTGTCGTGTGGTCTGTGTTTTTACACAAATTAAACCTGCTGAACTTACAGTTTAGTCCATGCCTTGGCTCAGCTTTAGTAATGAATTTGTTTTGACGTCGCGTGGGCTCTACTAAACTCAGTGGATTTATTGCTTTTCCGTTCCCAGTAAAGCATGCTCCCCTTCAGTATTTTGAGCACTGCAACAAACTAATAATTGGAGCTTCTTCTAGTAACTACTGCTACCTCCCAGTGGACAAACTCTGTGAGCTGCATCAGCGCGAACGGATGACAGTAAGCTGGATCCTGCAGGCTGTGGTGGACCGCCATTTCTGATAAGCTCAGCTCTCTAAGATAATTAGGCCAGTTTATCACTTTTGACTGGATCCATAAAAAAGTCCCACACAACTGGCCTGAGAATGAACTGCCCGCTGCCTTGCTGACAAATTAAAGAGCCCAGTCTTTCCTGTTCTTGTGTATGATTTTCTTGAGTCAATCCACTTTATCCATAAGATTAACTAGCCTGATTATAATGAAGGATTTTTACTTGTAAAGATTTTTCTGAAACTAGCAGCAGGGCAGAGATTTACTTGTAGAGGATGATAAATTAGCAATAACGGCAAGCTGTGGCCTTTTTGTATCATGAAAAAGCTCTCCATACTGTATTGAGAATGCACACACACACATCCTTGTACTTCTCAGTCTGAGGACTTTGTATTGACTGCCATTCATTTCTATAGCCTAACCCTGACAGACTTAACCATTTCCAGTACACGCCTAACCCTAAACTCAATTCACATCTTAGTCCTAAACCTAATCTCTAACACCAACCAAAACTTAATTTACCTGTATGCCTACCCAGCAAACCTCAGTTCAACTGAAAAAAGTGAGGAACAGGAAAATGTCCTCACTTCCTGAAAAAGACCTTTTTTTGTTGGTTAAAAGCTTTTTTCGGTTCTCTATATGTTGCATATACAAGTACACACACACGCACACACACACACAAACACACACTTTTATATTTCTACCCGCAGCAGGACTTCATATCGACTTCCATTAATTTTAGTAACCGCATTTATGCCTCTCAGACATGTTCCCTAAACCTAACCGTTACTAGTTTTTTCTTAACCTTAACCAAAACTAATTCACACTTTGCCTCTAAACGTATCCCTTGATCCTAAACAGTGGGGTCCGCCCTATTAGGACTGGGCTTTGTGTCCCCATAAGACCCGTCGGTCTTCAAAAGTTCATTAAATATGCCAGAAATTATCCTAAATAGAATAGCTAAGTAAGTAGACAAACACACATATTACATTTTTCTGTCTTCACAAGGATTTTGCATTGATTTACTTTCATGCGTTTCTGTAGCCTAATCCCTAAACACCACTGCTTCTTATGGGCCAAAAAAGGATCAGTGGGTCCTCACAATGTAGTATTTGTTGGCAAAATGGGCCTTACAAGGTGAGAAATGCTAACGCACACACACACACTCCTCTGAGAAGTTACTCTCACATAGATGCATGCCGTTGCTCAATTTGCATCTGAATACCAACTTTTGTTGGAAAATTCAAGGGTCCTTGGAGATTTTGCACATTCAGTTCGGAGCCAGGCATGCCAGTGGGAACAAAGTCACACATTAGCAAAACCCTGCCAGCCTCAATTATGACCACAGGGACTGGCTTGATAATGTTCGGCCGCTCACATTCAGCTCTGAATGTGTCCATCCAAACTTCCCTGGCCACTTCCTTCATGTTTTCTTTTTCTTTCTGCCATCAGGGAATAGCAGATCGCACATTTCTGTGTCAAGAATGAAGAAGGAGAAATATAGAGGTTCTCTGCTTGTGGATTCTGTTTGATTCTGTTCTGTTTTATATGGAAGCCTTGGTCTTGGTGTCTAGTTTAATGCTGTAGAAAATCCATCTGCAGTGGATGTGCTTGGTCTTTGTACTCTTTAGGCTGTACTCCCAAAGTTTTTTCCCTTTTTCTTTTTTTTTTTTTTGTTTCGCCCACTTTTTTTTCTCCACTTGTATTTTCTCAATCTTTTTCTGTCTCGGAGCATTTGAGATAGAGATGGAGATGGAGAATCCAGGAGTGTGGTTTTATGCTTGTGGGCTGTTGGCTCTATATTTTGCATGCATCGTGAAACACAGCTGATTAAATCGCAAATGCAGAGTGGTTTGCCCTTCTTTAATAAGAAATACACGTGCAATTTGCTGGCTTCTATCGAATGCTGTCTATAACTTTTGATTCTCAGGGGGGGGATTCGAGATTGGGCGAATCAAACTTTCTCTTTCAAAATGCAGGGTGTTTTATTCATGGGAAGAAAATTACATCTGAAAAGTCTGGGAAAAATTCACAAGCTGCTCTCTTTCTCCCTCTCTTTCTCTCTCTCTGTGTCTCAGCTTCCTCATATGGACTCTGATGCAGATGTGTGTAAAGTAGCTGCGAGTTGATCCGGTGTATGTTTTCGTCCCTGCACGCTTGCTGCTGTCTTACCATCATGCCCATGCTGTGACATGGGCAGCTCTGTTGTCACTGCATTCATAATTTAGTCTTATCAATAAATGATGGACGGCATTAAGTTTTCATCTCATGATGCAGCGCGGCCGTCTCTTACAGCCTCTTTACAAGCGCATGACTGAAGAGCAAAACTTTCCCTCTGTGTTCTTCCGTCCAAGCATCACTAGGCATTAGTATAACCTCAGATGATCCTGGTTCCTTATCCATGCTTTTAGAGGCTGATTTCCTCTGATCTCATATTCTGCTATAGCTAACTCCCACAGCCCTTCCTCTCTGCGAGCCTCTGGCTTTTAATGAGTTTTGCTGAGAGATATATTTACTCATGTTGTCTGCTGCTTCTGTCTAAAAGGCAGGACCCCCCTCCCCCACTTTCATTGCGTCCCATCAAGCTGAATCAGCATTGTCGTTTCACAGTTCGGTTAGCACAAAGAGCTGATGTGGATATAGCTCTGTCAGGGAAAACGAGCTCGAGAATCATCCCAGTTTTCAGGAACGGTTTTATAAACGCTTGAAAACCTTCATGCTGGTCATGTTGTCGGAGGCTGAGAGAAGCTGGAGCTTAAGGTGTTGCTGGTCTATAGCGGGGAAGATAAATATTACATGTGTCCATGTTTCTCTGGGTTATCACATTTTAAACCTGGCTGTTAAATTACAGCACTTTCAGTAACAACCAGAGTAAACCCCAGCAAATAAAAAAAGATCAAAGGAAATGAGACCATAGATTATTAACCTTACTGGAGATGAGGAAAGCTCCAAAAAGATATGGAAAGCCAAAACGGTAGCTGAAACCCTATAGCATTTAGAAAGCAATCACAACCCGCTCCAGTGCAAACTAACATTGATTTTATTATAATTAATAGTACTGGTTACAAAAAGTCATTTTTCTTCTTTTATGCACATTTAGCAGCGCATACATAAGGATGATTGACAGCGCTAAGACCCTCCTCCTTGGCTCTGTTTGGTTGTTTCTGACCAGGAGTTGCCCACAGATTATATGTCTCATACTATCATGACATGTAAAAAAGAAATGCATATATATATATATATATATATATATATATATATATATATATATATATATATATATATATATATATATATATGTTGCTTTAAGTGGAAAGAACGTAATTGCACCAAAAAAAAACAAACAAATGAAACAAAAACATTTGTTACATTTGTTTCATTGGTTTGAAGTTCTCCTCTAAAGCTCTTTCCCAATGGAGTTGAGAAAAATAATCAGTTTTTATAGTTCCAAGTTCTGCTTGAAGGACATCTCGACAAGCTAATTACATACGGGGAGAATTGGACAAAATCTTAAGAGGAGCTCAGAGTGACTTTGGCACAATGAGGTTTGAAGGTGTGAAAATGTCAAGATGACTCCAACATGTGGGACTGGCAGATGACGTAGAGCTGAGTGGAGGATTAATGGGGCGACGCATTGGGACGTTTTTCAACAAATCTGAACATGAAACAAGGGTGGAGTTTTCGGCAAGACGATAATCTCAAACACGCAGCCTTTGAAACTCTCTGCTGGCTTCAGAGAACATAATTAAAGAGGCTGGAAAGGCTCGCACTTGAATTCAATTGGGAAAAAAAATGCTATTTAAGATTTGAAAGCCCACCAGATTAATTCAAATTACTAATTTTTACATACAGGAGATGGTTTGTAGTTTTCGTTATCAAAAAGTACCTTCCTAAATATTTAATAAACTACAGTAAATGCTCAATAATTATTCTCTGTGCTGTTTGTTTTTGTCACACATGGTTTAAGGACCTTTTTATGTTAATTTTATCACCATCTGGCCTGAGTTTTGTGTCACTATCCCCGTTAGAAATTTGTTTGCTAGGAAAAAATGTTGACATGTTCAAAGCTCATTTTCCCCACTGCACACCAGCTGTCCTCCTCTGCATTTCCATACATCTCTGGAGATGCTGCGCCCTCGGCATGGTCGGACGTTGTTTTTATCTGCTATTTTTTTGTTTGTATATTTCATGTATCATCTACTGCACAGTCGGATAAACAATTTCTGCTGATAAAAGTTGGAGGGGAAGAGCAAACTGGAAAGAAATAAGTCCATGTGTCAGCTGATAAAAGCCTGAAAATCCAATTAGCGCTGAGTATCAGGTGGAAGAAGACGGCTCTCACCGGAGTTAGGCAAGAAAATATTCACAGCCGTAAAATGGATGTACTCCCTCATTTACATATGAGGCCATTGATAGATCTTTATAAAAAAAAATATATCTAAATACTTTCTTTGAAGACGAGAACTACAGTTTTCCCTGTAGAGCGGTGCAGATTTCTGCTTTTTCTTTTACAGTCTATGGTTTGCCCACATCAGCTTTTTGAAACGACTCAAACAAATATCAAAGGCGAGCACTGCGCCTTCCAACATTCACGAACCACTGTGAATGAAGGAGCCACTGGCGGAGGATGATCTCCACATCGACACAAATCCACCCTCGATTCTCTGTGAAAATGTATTCGCAGCTAAATATAAACGCAGCTAGTTAAATGGACATTTTTCATTATTTTTATTTCTTTAACATTGGATCATCTTTTCTCGTTGGTACCTTTTTCTTTTTTTATCCATTTCTAAAGATGAAAGGAAGATCCAGGCAGGCAGAACGGATAAAAAAAAAAAAAAAGGGAGCAAGGACATTTCCAAACAGCACATCGCCTCGGGTCAGAGATCAGATGTTCCCCGGGGGAAGAGGCTAGCGTGTGCCCCGGGTGTTGGAAACCAGAGCAAATACAGCCCTGTCATACATTTTACCTCGGACTGTAATGTACACAGTCACACAGTAGATTTGCATGTGTAGGTGTGTGCGATGCAGAGCCACAGAGGACGGGGAAGGAGGAGGGAAGAGATGTAGATGTTGGTGCAATAGGGAGGTCCTTAATGAGCCCAATCCGGACACTATGGAGCAGAATCGGTGCTGGAATGCAGCGCCGCCGCATTCACAGCGCAATAAACTTGCTGGGAAGCTTGAGCTGTGAAGTTGTGTGAAAAGCTTTGAAATATATGCATCTTTTACTAAACGGACATAATCTCACCCTGAAAAAAAAAAGTAGAAAACTCAACCCTTCATTTGGAGTAGGCACATCTGCCTCACTTTTTCCTCTTGATGTCCTCCGACAACATTTCTGAAAGGTTGGACCACACCGGCAGAGGGATCTTTGATTATTTCTCTAGATTGCTCTCTTGTATGCTCTCTTCTTTCAGCTAACCCATGTGGGATTTGGGTCTGGATACTTATATGCATGGAAGAAGGATGACTTTATCTAAATCAATTATACGCCCTTATTCTGCTGAAAGGCCGGTTGGAGTCTCATTTTTAGTTTACTGCCAGAATCCACCAGATTTGAATTTACAAGTGTTTTCAAGTGTTTAGGGGGTAGGAGTTTATAAGTTCTCAC